TCTGTACCTTTTAAGGAGGTGGGGCCTCCTCCTGACAGGCCTGCACCCAATTTGATATCTTCTGCCCCCATGTGCTCCAAGATGGAGACTCTCATAGTTTAGAGTTAGGACCGCACTATAAGAGGTGCCTTGGCGCGGCAGTGCGGCTTTCACATCCTCTGCAGAAGACGTGTATCCAAACCTCTGTCATTGTCCTTAGTGGTGAGACAAGTTGTTTTACATGCTGGTTTTGTGAGTGTGCCATGATGCCTTTCTGCTGTTTTACTATTCAAAGCCCATTTCGTGTGCACCTTACTGTATAACCGGTGACAAGTTGTTGAGTGCGTTTGTCGTTTGTTTTGTTTGACATAGTACTATGTGTCCCCGGTTATTTACAAACACCGGAGTGATCAGCCGATCGCTCCAGTGTTTGTCCTGCACAGAGGATTGGTACATAATGGTGACATGTACCGATCCTCTGCCACTCGTCCACGCACAGGGGGGCTGCAACTTCTCTGGATCCCCCTGCTCTCCCGGGCAGAGGGGGATACGACGAGCCGCGGGGGGGGCGGAGCCGCTGTGACAGAACGGACGAGCAGTGAGGGGAGAGAGAGGCGCCGGCTGTCAGATCCTGGCCGAGCGTCTCTCTCTCTCTCCTCACTGCTCTGCATTAGTTAGTGACAGCGGCTCCGTCCTCCGCCCTCCCCCGCCATGAGACATGGCAAAATGAGGTGGCTGCTGTGCTGGCCACATTACAAGGTCCGGCGGGCCGGATTCGGCCTGCGGGCCTTGTGTTTGCCACCCCTGGCCTATGTGATAGCAATAAGTGGGGGGCAGGGAAGACAGGGGTCTAATAGACCCCCCCTGGTGTCTTTTATAAAGGCCCCTATGGGCCCATATACTATCACATTGGAGGCTTGTTAGACCCCTAATGTGCCCCCTGTTTATTGCTATCACATAGGCTCTAATAGACCCCTGGTGTCTTTATAAAGGCCCATATGCTATCACATTGAAGGCTTGATATAGCCTATGTGATAGTAATAAGTGGAGGGCAGGGGGGACATTAAGGGTCTAATAGCCCCCTGGTGTCTTTATAAAGACCCTTATGGGCCCATATGCTATCACATTGAAGTCTTGGTACATTGAAGGCTTGTTACAGCCTATGTGATTGCAATAAAGTTTTGGGGAATTTAGTTTTTTTAAAAACCAACCACGTCACCTGAGCATTCGCATAAATGTACACAGGCGTCGGTTGCACTTGTGTTAAAAAAAAAAATTCCCCTAAAACTTTATCGCCTCGGCTTGCTTCCATCTCCTCCCCGCCCCCACCGCTCTTCTTGCTGTTAGGATTTTGCAATCTTCTGAAATGAATGCTCGCTAGTCCCTACAGAGTGATGTGCACCTGAGTCTCTTCATCCCTACGCTTTGGCTGCACACAGCATGTAGTGTGGGTGTGTTTGTTGATGGCGGTGGTGGAACTTGGAGATGACGTCACGCCGTGTCCATTGCATTCTGGATTTGCTCATGCACTTGACATGCGTTGACATATGTTTTAAAGTCCATTTCCCACCCTTGTGATTGGCCGTTATTGTGGTAATGAGGAGGTGCGGGGGGTGAGGTGCACATGAGCACATTTTCGTGACTCGCATTGCTGGCTTTCTTCGTTTTTGTTATGAAGGCTTTTATTGGGCCTGAAGCCTAAAATGTAAAGAAGGAAAATCACTCTGACAACCCACCAATGACTGTCTGGACCGCAGTCGCCGGTCAGCGCTGTGCTATGGCTTATAGTGTATACACTGGCCTTGGAGGCCCACACATCCACTGGAGGCCCGCCATGACTGAGTGCAGGTCAGCAATCGTACTCCGGACGGAACCACCACTTGGTCTGTGTCTGGACCGCGGGCTAGAGGGGGGCCGCCATAGGGCAGGGTAATGCCCAGGTCTGCTCCATGGTGAGATATATTCAGTGTCAGGTCAACTGTTTTTTGGGACTTGAGGTAACTCCAGGCAAAAATGAAATCACAGTCTGTAAGGTTCCCATTAGGGATGCTCCCGATACCAAGTATTTGGGCAAGTACTCGCCCCAAATGCTCCTGATACCGGAACTTCCGACTTCCTGATTGGCCAGGAGGCTGACGCCATGCTTCCTTATCACCAGGGAGCATGGAGCTGTCTTGCCAGCCAATCAGGGGGCAGGTAATGACTTGCCCCCTGTCTTCTACATTGGCCAGGAAGCCGACTCCATGCTCCCTCGTCACTTGGTGGCGAGAGAGCAGAGAGCCGGCATCCCAGCCAATGAGGAAGCCGGGCAGTGTGTAGTGACTCGCCGTCTGGTCGAGAAGCTGACCAATCAGGAAGCCAGCAAGTCATTACCCGCCCCTTGGCTTCCTGATTGGCTAGAAAGCCGGCTTCACCTGGTGAGGAGGGAGCATGGAGACGGAAGCTGGGTGGTGAGTCATTACATGCCGCCCGGCTTCTTTAAAGGAACTTTCGGTATTCTGTATGGCCGAGTACCGGAAGAAATATATCAGTACTCGATAGCGGAAAGCCTTGTATCGGTGCACCCCTAGTTCCCATAATATATTCTTTATCTTGGTCATAAATAAATCTCCTGGTGATCCTGCTGTTTCTGCTTAGTACTTCTGGTACAGGACCGGCCACAGTATTGGGCCTCCTTGAAAATGGTTCCTGCCCTGAGTGTTGTCGGCACCTGGAGGCTGCGTTGCTGTCAGGTGGTGGTTCCGGATGATGCATGATAAAGCGCCGGGCACTTCAGGCTCTGCGATTCCCGAATTTGCATTCAGTTGTCTTGGCAGCACCGGGCATACGTCACTTCTGGCAGTGCCACGAGCCGCTCTGTTTGGGCCTGTTCACACGACGTCCGTTTTGTGTGCTGACCTGATCCGTACGCTCCTGCACTCAAAATGCATCCCAATGTCTCCCTATGTGTTTTATGGACTACAGTTCTCACGTGCGCAGTCCGTTCAGCTTACGACAGAAAAATACTGCATGTCACATTTTGTACGGTCAGGAAACGCAAACGCGTCAAACGCACTGCACTGCAGCTAACATACTGACAGGCCCACTCCAGCAAAAAAAAACGGACCTGATCAGGACCTGAAACTCATGTGAACAGGCCCTAACATGATCCCCTGCACAGCACCGCACTACATAACATGCTTTCCAGGATTGCATTGTATTTCCTGTATGAAATTCCTCATTGGGGGGCTTCCTACCCCCGAGGTTGTGAAAATGGGGCTGCTGTCTGTATATTGGGTATTCCATTTCGGGCCATTTGGGTTTTTTACCGACTTGCCTTGTTTTGCAGGACTGTACATAGCGGGTGGTGAAGATGGCGCTCCAGGGAACATTGATGGAATCGCTACTCAGATGGGTGAGTACGGAGCTTTGCGTCCACTTGTAGAGGGCAAACTGGGAGGACTTAGTACATGACAGGAAGTGACTGGACAGCTTGTGCGAAAATCAGCATATGAATAATTATTAGGGATGCACCGATACCGGTATTTTTGGTACAGAGTACTGATAATTTTTTTTCCGGTACTCGCCGATACCGAATAACGGAAGTCCCATTCAGGAAGCCAGGTGGAGTGTAAAGACTCGCCACCCGGCTTCCCGATTTAACAAGAAAGTCCCCTCTTACCTTGGTATATCCAGCCTGTCACCCCCGGGGCCTCTCCAGCCAGAACGCGGCCTTCCTCCGGTACCCAGCCGGAGCCGCCTGGCTGGCCAATCAGGAAGCCGGGCGCCGTGTAATGACGCGACGCCCTGCTTTCTGATTGGCCGGGAGGCCGGCTCCATGCTCCCTCGTAATGAGATGGCGAGGGAGCATGAAGCCAGCTTCCCGGCCAATCAGAATCCCGGGCGCTGCGTCATTACACGGCTCCCGGCTTCCTGATGCAGGAAGTATTGGGCTAGGCATCAGAGCATTTGTAAGAGTACTCGCCCAAATACTTGGTATCGGCACCGGTATCGATACTAGTATCAGTATCGGTGCATCCCTAATAATTATAGAAGACCTCCGTGCCATGGGATAGTTTGCTTTTTTTGCAAGCCCCCTTCTCTCTGTTGGAAACAATACAAATACGTGTCTGATCTGGCTGAGGAACGTTTCCTTTAAGATCTAGTGTCTGTAGGGGCCCGCACACGAGACTACAGAAGATTGGATGTGATCACCTCTGGTCTGTGTCCACCTATACATTGTCTGCCACGTCTTGTGAAGTCTACAGCTCCCTGGTAAGGCCAAATCAGAGATGGGCACCATCTGCTGAAGAACCACGTTGCCATAAGAAAGGAGCCCTCTTTGCTGCCTCTAAAAGCAACGGGCACCTGACCCTAACATTGGCACCCTCCTCCTCCAAAGATCTGTACTTGCTAAGAGCCAATGGCCACGGTTCCACTATTGATTCAATCCAAAACCACAATGCTCCTTCTGCGGGCTGCACCTGAACATTACAGTTCCGTACTCTTGTATGGGGCCGTCTCCCACCTAGGAGACTGACGAGGATCTGGGAGAGGGAGACTTGTAGCTCGGGATGTTGGCAAACAGTGGAGCAGCATGCCTCAGATCTCGGCGTGTGTGTATATAGTATATATCTGTAAATCTCAGATATGAGATTATGGGGGAGGCCCACCTTTAAATTGGCAGCCAGTGGGAAAAGGTCCACCACACACTGGCAGCGGGGAGAAGGGTCCACCTTGGCAGTGAGCGGGGAGAAGGGTCCACCTTGGCAGTGAGCGGGGAGAAGGGTCCACCTTGGCAGTGAGCGGGGAGAAGGGTCCACCTTGGCAGTGAGCGGGGAGAAGGGTCCACCTTGGCAGTGAGCGGGGAGAAGGGTCCACCTTGGCAGTGAGCGGGGAGAAGGGTCCACCTTGGCAGTGAGCGGGGAGAAGGGTCCACCTTGGCAGTGAGCGGGGAGAAGGGTCCACCTTGGCAGTGAGCGGGGAGAAGGGCCCGCCTTACATTGGCAGTCAGCGGGGAGAAGGGCCCGCCTTACATTGGCAGTCAGCGGGGAGAAGGGCCCGCCTTACAAGTGAGATGGGCCTGCCTTACACTGGCAGTCAGCGGGGAGAAGGGCCCGCCTTACATTGGCAGTCAGCGGGGAGAAGGGCCCGCCTTACACTGGCAGTCAGCGGGGAGAAGGGCCCGCCTTACACTGGCAGTCAGCGGGGAGAAGGGCCCGCCTTACACTGGCAGTCAGTATACTGTAGTTTAAAAGGACATGGGTGTCACTGGTTACGTATCTGAGAAGCAGATTGGCCAAGGAGCCCTTAGTAACCTCTGGAAGAACCCCGGTTGACAAAGTCCGGCCTACATTTCTCTAACTCCCTTTTGTGTATCTTTCATAGGTGAACAGCCTGAAGGTGGACGACCCCATAGAGCACCTCTCTCAGCTGCAGGATCTCAACATCATCATCAAAATCATCAATAAGCTGTGAGTTCCCAGAAACAGAGGCGGCTGTAGTGGGTTTTATCCGCTCCATATTGTACTCTAGCTTGGATGTGGTGGCCGCACATCTTGTATCATTGGTATAGCCCCGGCCAATACATGTGTATGCATTCAGAGTCCAGAAGGGAAAAAACCTCCCCTTGTGTGTGGATCAATGGAATAATCCAGCAAACACTGGTCCAAGGAGACCTCGCCATACAAAGGCAACGGTATCTCTCTCATGAAAGGCATCATGGGAAATTTCCTTTGTTTCCCAACCCCACCCCCTAGCAGCTCACATTGGATGTGCCATGCGGCGCTTGCCTCAAT